CCCTCCCTCTCTCTCTCTCTCTCTCTCTCTCTCTCCCTCCCTCTCTCCCTCCCATTCTCTCTAAAAAAAAAAATCACTGGGGAAAAAAAAATCCTCAGATTAACAAAATCAAACAAACAAACACAAACAATAAAACCTGCAACCTTGCCCCGGCCAGTTTGAAGGGTCCCAGGTTCAATTCTGGTCAAGGGCATGTACCTTGGTTGCGGGCACATTGCCAGTAGGGGGCGTGCAGGAGGCAGCTGATTGACGTTTCTCTCTCATAGATGTTTCTAACTCTCTAACCCTCTCCCTTCCGCTCTGTAAAATATGAATAAAATATGTTTAAAAAAAACAAAAACCAAAAACAAAAACAAAACCTTGGCATATCAGGACAACACTCTCACCACCTGAACTACTGGGCTAGTGGGAAAAACAGTATGTTAAGTGAAAGGAAGCCGGACACAAATGACCACCTATTATTATATTATTACATTTACATGAAATGTCCAGAAAGGGCAATCTATAGAGACAGAACGTAGATTAGGTGTTGGCCAGGGCTAGAGGTATTAATTGAATTAATTGTAAGTGGGCAGGAGGGATCTTACTGGGGTGCTTTTAAAAATGTTCTAGGACCTGACAGGTAGCTCAGTTGGTTGGAGCGTTATCCCAGTGTAACTAGGTTGCATTCAATCCCCAGTCAGGGCCTATACAAGAAACAACTAATGAATGCACAAATGAGTGGAGAAAAACCGATGTCTCTCTCTCTAAAAATTTTTTAATGTTCTAAAACTGATTTGTGGTGATGAGTGCACAACTGAACAAATTTTCTAAAAATCACTCAGTTACACACTGGAAACAGCTTAATTTTAACATTTGTAAAATATACTTTAATTAAGTTGTAAAAAAATGTCTAGGAAGATGCCTGGCTGGTGTGGCTCAGCAGTTGAGAGTCAACCCAGGAACTAAGAAGTCGCCAGCTAGATTCCCAGTCAAGGCACATGCTCGGGTTGTGGGCTCGATCTCAGTGGGGGCTGTGTAGGAGGCAGCCAATCAATGACTTCCTCTCTCATCGATGTTTCTATCTCTCTATCCCTCTCCCCTCCTCTCTCTCTAAAAATCAATAAAAATATACTTTTAAAAAATGTCTAAAAAGAGAGACATTGTAATAATGCTCTACTCACCATGTTCTTTCATAGCCTCCTTCCCATCGCTTAGTTCTTTCAGGTTCTTCATCCATTTTTTCTTAAATGTATTATATTATTCAATATCCTATAAAAATCATTACATTGTAAATTTCCTAAAAGTATTTGTTTGTTGTTGAATAACATTTTTTTTAGATTTTTTCCCTTTATTAAGATATTACAAATGTGTCCTTATCTCCCCAATATCCCCCCATCCACCAACTCATGCCCTCACCCCCACCCCCTGTGTCTGTATCCATTGGTTATGCTTATATGCATGCATACAAGTCCTTTGGTTGAATGACATTTTTTATATAATTAAATTTGAAAAGTAAAGAGGGGGAAGTAAACATACAAAGTAAAAAAAAAAATCAGAATGCAAGATCATCTTATATTCTTTGAAATTTAGTCAATGATTGTTGTTGGGTGAAAAAAAATTTACAAAATCCTCATGGAACTTTTCACATCCCCAAGAAAGACTAAAAATATTTACACACAAATTTGGCACCAATAAAAGTACTTTTATAATTTTTTAAAAAACAAAATGCATTACAGATGTGTCATAGGACAGGACCATGGATTATGAGAAGTGAGTAGGGGTGTAGATAAAGCAAGATGAGCTACAACTAATGATTATTATAGCTGAGTGATGGATGTGGTGATTTATGGTACTACCTCTCCATCTCTGTGTATATGTGAATTGTTTCATAATCAAATTTTTAAATAAAATTTATTATTTATAAATGATAAATGCTTATGGCTCATAATTCAAAAAATGACACGCTATTAAACCTACACAGATATCTACTATTAAAAGGAAAAAAATTTAGTAATTCAATAAATAGGTTTCATCTGTATGACTGGATTAAGGGTGATTGGGTTTTTTTCTTTATTCATTTCTGTATTTTCAATACGAACCTTCATTTCTTGAATAATCAAGGATAAAACAGGTAGTAGGGGGACCTATTAACCATAACCAAGTAATAAACATCCCACCACACCCACACCTCCACCCTCTCCAATGAAATCTCCCTGCCTACCCCACACTCTCATTCTCAGCTTCCTTGGTGCATAAATGAAGGCTCAAAGGAATCCTAAGTGCCAAGACATTAAGGACAAAACAAATCCCCTCGCTGGCAGAGTCAAAGATAAATCTTTATGATGCGGACCATAACCAAGACCTTACCCTCCTTTTATACTATTGTTTCTAAAACAGACATTTAACGATTTGAAGAACTGACCTATAAATGGACTTTTGGAATTAAAATCTATTGACAAGTTGTACACTGTGTTTATGGCAACACTGTTTCCTGTGGCACCTGTAATAATTAGGTATTATTTACTAAGGCTCTAGGTCTCTCACTGAATCAACCACTCCACGGCACTGAAAGAGACTTGCTGCAGGAAATCTGGCGATCCACTTTAACATCTTGAAGTAGAGAAGTGACTTAATTCTAACTTCTGTACTGTTTCGACGGCTATGTTGATGCCCTTGTAGGTTTAATGATGTGTAGTAACGTAACATACAGTGAATGCATTGAACATTTTGATTCTCCAAGCAAGTGTTTTCAACATTTTTAAACTCCAATTCTTTAAAAAGTGGCTACTGGCATCCATCACATCAAGATGAATTTTACTTTTGTTACTGAATCCCCTGAAAGCTCTGACACAAGTGAGTAGGCACTGCAGGTGGGAACACTCCCGACTCTCTGCAGACAAGCACGTTTGTTTTCATTAGAGCTGCGCGCGATGGGAAATTGCAGGCACAGGACGGTGTGAATGAAGCCTCCCGAGACTGAAGGCGCTCGAAGGGAAGCTGGATGCTTACAACGCATCCTGGAGAAAGATGCACTTGATGCCTAGCCGGTTTGGCTCAGTGGAGAGTGTCAGCCTGCGGACTGAAGGGTCCCAGGTTCGATTCCGATCAAGGGCACGTACCTGGGTTGTGGGCACATCCCCAGTCGGGGGTGTGCAGGAGGCAGCTGATCGGTGTTTCTAACTCTATCCCTCTCCTTTCCTCTCTGTAAAAAAATCAATAAAATATATATTTTTTTAAAAATAAGTAAATAAGATTTGCTGAAATAAATGACTTTCCTGAACCTCTGAGCACTCTCCAACTATTAGGTATTAAGGGAGATAATATCCAAAAATATCTTAGAAGGCAAGTAAGCTGCCTTCATAACTCAATTTAATCTGGCACATATTTGGGCAATTAAAATATGCTAAATATATAAAATATTGGCTGATGTTTCTCTCTCATCGATGTTTCTAACTTTCTATCCCTCTCCCTTCTCTCTCTGTAAAAATAAATAAAATATATTTAAAAAAAAAAGAAAGATGCACTTGGTGACCCCTCAGGTCGGTCAGCTCCTGGAACTAACTTCCTAATAGCCCACCTTCTCAAAATATCACTAATCTGTTTCCTGGGAACCCAACCCCAGAAAAGCCCGCGTAAGCCTGTTGGCGTGCTTCCTGTCACAGGAGCGCAGACCGCTACCTGCCAACAGCTGCGACCTGCACCGACGCCCACGCCAGGAAGCTGGTCCTCAGGCCTGATCCCAGCAAGCGCTGTGAGGCAGGCTCGGGTGACCACTGTCCTGTTTTCAGCTGCGGAACTCGAGGATCGATAGTTCGTCACTCCCTCGAGGCCACCTGGCTGGAGGCAGGTCGCAAACTCGAATCCAGGGTCCCAATCCCCAAAGCTCGCGCTCTGCGGTAGGGACATTCCCCAAGATGTTCCCCCGCAGCTCCCACACGGTAACGGCCCTCCTCTTCCGCACGCTCCCTCACACCCCCATTCCCCATGACGCCGGTCAGGCCATTCAGCCTCCGGCCCGGGGAGTGAAGGCCCTTCGCGCCGCCAGCCGCCCCAGGCAGCCGGCCCACGCCTCCGCTCCCCGCCAGCC